CCCCACCATGTCTGGCCCCTGACTTGTCTGGTTTTACACGAGCAGACACAAAGGAAGCCAGTGAGGCCACTAGTCCCCAAGAATTCAGAAAATGTGGGGTCTCCATTGCAGGCAAGGATTTCAGGAACTATCTTGGCTTCTCCTGGAACCTGGAACTGGTAGAATCCCACAGTCTCCATAGGGATTTAGCCAGAAACGTGCGGGGTGCCTTCTCTCTCAGTAGCTCTTCACCCAGCACCTCTGGGAAGGCTGCAAGAGATCAGCCACAGGGCCAGAGGAATAGGCAAGAGTTGAAGACACCTCTGTGACTAAAGAGAGTTTTCTCCAAAGGCTTTGGAAAATGTTTATCTTAGGGATGGTTTTTCCTCAGGAAGTAGGCTTATAGCTACAGGGTAAGTTCCTGTGTAAATGTTTAGAAACATTGCAAAAGAGCTGCTTTGGTCTTTTGGTTGGTGATGATGGAAATAGCCAGATCTTGGGGTGTACTGTCAAAGCAGCAAGAGTACTCAGGTAAGCCTTGTCCATAAACCAGTCTACTCCATTCCTCACTGGAGGAACAGTATCTACCATTCATTGGTATTCATTGCATGCCATGTATGTTCAACATTTATTGAAAAAAAATACAATGGATAAATGACTAACTTTAGAACTCCACTTTTTCTGTTCTTTTAGGTCTGAGACTGGGACTCAAACTCAGTACCTGCCACTTTTGCTCAGTGGCTAGCACTCTATCAACTGAGCCACAACTCCAATCCCTAAAACCTCACTTTTTAATTATTATATCCTCCAATCTGCCTGACATTTCCACAACCCATTTACCACCCATACAGAACTAAGTTAGCCAAGCAGTCAAAGACCTCTCTGGTAGCCAAGCATGGTGGTGAGCATCTGTAATCCTAGCACTTGGGAGGTGGAAACAGGAGAATTGTGGGGGGGAAAAAAAGACCCTTTTAGAATAGGAGACACCTGAGACCAGGAACCTCATCTGTCCTGTTGATCACTGTACTCCAATCCCCAGACTACCAACTGACATTTGGGAGGCATTCAGCAATGATTACTTTTGCTAAATTAGTCTATCTAACACTATCTCCAAATTATCAGACAGGAAAATCAAGGCCAAAAGAGACAGGGCACTGCCTGCCCATTGTTTTTTTTTTTCTTTTAAAGTGAGTCAAGGGAGCATGGACAGGCCTTTAGGTCTTCAGCCTCTCAGCTGGACCAGAGCTTTCTCCCCTGGATTAAAGAGCCCACGGTGTCCTCCCACCTTCCCATAGCCCTTCCCACGTTCTTCATTCTCTCAACTCCCAGCTTTCCCTCTTTTATTTTCTCTGCCAGCTCCATAATTAGCCATTGGAAACAGAACCCATAATTATTTTCTCCCCCATGCCCTTAAATTGCTTTCATTTTGGGCTCTGTGACCCCTATCCTGGGTGGGGCTGGGCTCCCCTTCAGCATCTCCCCAAGGGGGAGAGCCAACTTAACAAGCACCAGCTGGGGCTATAGTCCCCCCCACACACCCATCCAATGCCAGCTGTGCAGGAGGCTAGCAGCAGATGGGCAAGGAGGGTCCCTAGGCAGGCTGGGGCTGACTCAGCTGGGGTGTCAGTGAGACTGTGACGTGCCTAGGCAGGACAGGAGGCTAGGCAGGCAGGCAGGCAGGCAAGCAGGCGGGCCGGATTTCCGAGAGTGATTGATGCCAGGTGGCCAGAGGGCCGCTTGCTCAGCAGGGCCCAACCTAGCATGGCCCAAGTTGGGTCTGGATCATTCTTGAGATTCTTCAGCTTACCTTCATGCTCCTGTTTAGACAGTGCCAGGCCCTCCACATTGGTTGTGCCATACGGATGTCTCCTGAGAGCTTAAAATTGACCCAGTGCTGGTAGACACCAGTGGCTCACGCCTGTAACCCTAGCTACTCAGGAGGCTGAGATCTGAGGATTGCAGTCCCAAGCCAACCAAGCAGAAAAGTATGAGACACTGGTATCTTCAACTCGCCACCAAAAAGCTGGTATCTCCAGTGGTACAGTGCTAGCGTTGAGCACAAAAGCCTTGAGCCCTGAGTTCAAGCCCCAGGACCAGCAAAAAAAATGACCAGTGCCAATAAAGTTAAACACTTTGGCCTTCCAGTTTGACGACGCTTGTGCCTTTAGAAAAACCAAGGCCTGCACCTGCTCAGTTTGGCTTCATAGGCAAACAGTTCAGCCTGCAGAGGTAGACAGGCAGCCCCAACCTCACCTGGGAAGCATCCTCTATCCCTGACTCACCAGGAGCCTGTGCCCAGCTGGGACAGGAAGGAGTGGAGGGTGGGGCCTGTCTGGGGCCTACCACTGGAGGCTCACACCTCCTGCCTCCAGCTAGCTAAGCTTGGTCCCTCCCTGACCCAAGACAGATGGGAAGGGAATGGAGGTAGGGAAAACTCTTGTTCTTCAAGATTCTCAAGAAAGAGGCAAGAAGTTGGGGAGTAGAAGAGAATGGGAGTCACATCCCTCACTCTCATTTACTCCTAGTGTAATAAAAGGTCTAGTCGTGAATCCTAATACCCCTGTCTACTTGATGTGCATTTTGGGGCAAATTATAGCCCCTAGTAGGGTGTCTGTTTCTTCCTTTCCAGGGTGAGGCAAATAATTCACCACCTGCCACCCTCACAGTGGCATTTTAGAGATAAAATATGTGTTGGACACTGTGAAACAAGGAATACAAAGTAGTGCCAGCTACAGCACCCATGCTGGGCAAGACCTAGTCACAAATATCCTGGGCTGTTGGGTGAACTCTTCATGCTCTCCTTGGCCCTCTCCTAGTGTTTTACTTTACATGCCCACAGCTTACTCCCTAGACTCCCAGGGACTCCATCTCCCATGTGTCACCAGCAAGGACAGCTCGTACCCTGTAGTGCAGGGTGGGGTGAGGTGGGGTGGGGGGAGGACTAAAAGACTCATCCAACCTGGGTCTAGCTTTACCTCAACTGGAGGTAATAATCTGGCCTGAACCAGCCCTAGTTAGAGACCCCCAGCACAAGCCAGGCCCTACTCTGGGCAGGCAGTCAAACAGCAGAGGCCTCATCTGATCCAGGCACTTCCTTTGGTTAATGAGAAACCAAATAAACAGCCTCTGCCCCAGCTGGCTCCAGGAGCACCCCAGCCAGGCCCAGCCTTGCTCTAGCCCAGCCTCCTCCCTCCTGCCCTGCCCTGTGTTCCCAGGACTCTCCTCCCCCTTCCTTCTCCATGCATTCCCTACTTCCCACAGAACCCTGCCTGCTCCTTGGATGGCTTACTGGGGTTTTCTGCACTGGATCCCTTAACTCACCTTTCCCTTCCTTCCTCTTTTCTTCTCTTGCCTTCTTACCCGTTTTCAGTTATGGGATTTCACTTGTCCTCTCTGACATATGTGTTAAGCGTCTTTATGAATAACCCCTGAAAAGCCCTACAGGCTGCTCCAGGCTGAAGCAGGAAGGCCCTGGGCCGACAAGCCTGCAACTCTGTTGAAGGATAGAGGCCAAATCATCTTGAGGGCTTTCACTTCATTCTCTGACCTGGGCAAGTTACTCATCAGCCTGTGGGAGGGAGGTTGGGTGCTCAGGCCTGCTCTAGCCTGAGGGCCTCCACTACCGGACAGAAGCCCCCAAATATATCACGGTTGGAGCTATGCTGTTGCCCAGCTCTGAAGACAGGAAAGAGGAGTTCATTCTGTCTGGAAAGTTAACTGGGAAGTCTCAAAACACCCTAGTATTCAGTGGGAGCAGCAGAGGCTCAGCTCTTGGGAAGTTATTTCTATCCACCTCCAGGCATCCTGAGGTAGGGCAGGGCTGGGCCTGCCAGCAGGTCCAGATCTAGCCCCAGCCAGGTGGTGGCACTACCTGTAGACACACCCAAGTCCCCATGGGAACACCCCCTCCCCCCATCAAACCTTCTTCATTGAATGTGCTGCCTATGGCCTGTGACAGGATAGATTGGGGGGGGATGGAAATGGACCTAAGCTCATTATAGCAGAACAATAGGGCCTAAAACTGGGGGGGGGGTGAGGAACACAGTAAGTTGCACAGGCACTTGAAATGTCTTGCTCCCCTTGGATAGCACCCCCTTCCACTTCCCCATACCTATCTAGATGAACCATGGTTTGGCTATAGGAAATCTCACACATGTGTGCATGTACACAAACACACTCCTGTGTACACAAATGTTCACAGTTCACAATTCCCCAACACCATGACACCATTTTACACCCAGTTCTCCATGTGGTTAATTTTTTTAGTTCTCATTTTTTTCTAAGAAAAAAGCAACAAGAAAATAATTCGGAGTTTATACAAAACATCTTTACATTATTTCTTCCAAAAAGACTAGTATTTACACAAATGGCAACAGAAACAAAAACAAAACAAACAAAAAAAAACCCTTCCAATTGCCACCTGGAAGGGGCTGGCTGTTCTCCTCTCTCTCCCACCTGGCACTAGGGTGGGCAGCTGGCCAGGAGGCAATGTGGAGGGAGGTGGCTGGTAGAAGGCCCAACTCCTTCCTTCCATGGCCACTGGGAGTGCCTTCCTGCAAGGCTCACTGGAGTCTGTTAGCAGCCATGCTAGCAAGGAGCAGGGGTCAAAGTGCACTGCAGGCTGGCCCAGCCCCAGGCAGCCTCTTCCTCTTTCCAGGCCCCAGCCCATGACTGAGGGTGGGGAGGGGCAGTGGGAACCAGATTGGGTAAAGGTACCCTACTTGTGCTAGAACCCAGAAAAGAAGCGGGCCACCTGGCTTTAAACCCACATAGGTCTCCACCTTGGGTCTCTATTTCCCTACCAGGCCAAAGAATGCCAAAGTTAAGAAGAGAACAGGGCGGTAGGGAACTCCCAGCTCTGCAGGGCAAATAGCCACCTGGGCACCTCATCTCCCTCCACCCCCCATGAGGTCATCTGCCTGAAGCAGCTCTCTTGTTCCCCAGGCAACAGCCAATTAAGACATTAATTACTGTGAGAGTAAGAGAGGCAGGAGATGCCCAAGAATCCCATAAGGATGGGATTTTTTTTTTTTGGTGGAAGGGTGGCAGCCATTACCCCACTGCCAGGATGAGCTTTATGGAAGGAGGGTCAGGAGTGGATGGTGGGACACTTTGCCCAGTAGCACTCTCCTATTCCCTCATGGTCAGGAACAGCCCTGGCCAGCCCTCCCCCACACCCCACCCCTGAAATACCAAGGAGTCTATAAAAGAAATGCCATCCTATGCTTCCTGGCTGGCCACATCCTGCCCCAGGCCCTCCTATACTGGGTCAGGCCAGGCTCAGAAAGCCTGGGGAGGGGCTACCTTGTACATTTTTTCCATTTTTATTCAAAAACAGATGAAAATGAGTTGACAGCTAAAAAAAAACGAACATAAAAGCATTAAAAAACAGTGATGATGATAGTGGACGAGCAGTCCTGGGAAAGGGAAAGGGAGTGAGGGAGGGGGCAGGGCCAGGGGGCTGTCTCCCTGCCTACTGTCCATCAGTGTCCAACCCTGCCCTCCAAGAAAGGGCGCCCCCACAGAGCCCACAGGCCTGGCCAGAGGGGGAAGGCACGAGAGCATGGGGGTCAGGGTCACAAGCACCCCCCTCCAAAGCCCAGGGGGCAGGAAAAAGGGGAATTATAAAAGCCAAGAAACTACAAAACTAAATACAAAGGTGGGCACAGCTGGCAAGGGGAAGGGTGTGGGGGACAAAGGAGAGGTCCATCCAGGCCATCTGTCCCTCGGGGCTCAAAGCTGCTTTGGGCACTCAGACCTTGTAGTAGATGTTCGCTGGGCTCTGGGGTGGCATCTCCTGGACGATGTAGACGGGGTGCCCGTAGTCCCCACTCACCTTCTCATAGTGGGGGCAGTAGTTGTTCTCTGTAGTCCGTAAAGGGATGATGATGTCGCTGGGCTCAGTGCCCGCTGTGCCACTACCCCCTTTAGGACTGGCCAGGGTACTGAGTGACAGGGCAGCGGCTCGCTGCTGTGTGTGCTTGCGGTGTCGCTTGCGTAGCTTAAGTAGTAGGACGGTCAGGAAGATGATGATGAGAAGGAAGATGACACAGCCAGCACCAACGGCTGCAAACAATGCCACCTTGGAGTTGAAGAAGCTGTCGGCATCCCCGCTGCTGCCCCCACCTGCACCTGAGCCACTCTTCTCTTCCTGGTTCACAGTCTCTGAGGAAGGGGGAAGGAAAGGAAGGAATGGTCAGCCTGAGGAAGATGACGCGGCCAACACAAATGGCCACAAACAAGAGATGAAGAAACAGTCATGGTTCTTGCTGCCACCCATGTTTGCCAGGAGATACATAGCAGGTCTCAGGCTAGACTCAGCCTGCATTTCTTTAGACACAGGGCAAAGAAGGCAACTGAGCAATAATGACTTCTGCCCTTTAAGAATCACCTGTCTATACTTACCATGCTTGCCATCAGAGTCACCCTGGTGGCCCCGGCCAGGGGCCTGGGTGGCTGTCTTGACAGTGTTGTCTGCCTCCTTGCTGGGCCGGCTGGTAGTTAGTTGCTCAGGTGTCACAGCATTGGGATCTGAGAGCAGGGAGACAGGTGAGAAGGTGGAACTCAGGACTCTGCTAGCATGAACACACTTAATCATATATGTTAGGTCAAGAATGGCCTCAATGCTAGAAGGAATCATGTTGAGCGAGATAAGCCAAGAGCAAAGAGACAAACGGTACATGGTCTCCCTGATAGGTGGATGTTAAATCCAAAATGTTAGGTGATATGACAAAATTAACAGGACTTAAGAAACAAAAAACTCCTACTCATCTGGTCGAACCACTACTAAATATCCCCATGCTGCTGATCACATGTATGGTGTATAACATGTGAACACCATTATATGTTATAGACTGTGATAGACAATTTGCTCCAGGAGAGTTAGAATGAACTTGTGACTTTAAATGAGCATCATTATTCCACAATACTGTGAAATTTGGGAAATTATGTAATCACTTAACCACAATTTAAAAAAAAACAAAACCTCGGGGAAGGTAGGGAGGGAAGGGATGGTAAGGGGAAAACAATGGAGGGGGTAACAATGCTCAATAGGAAGTGTACTCGTTACTTTGCTCATGTAACTGTCACCCTCTGTATAGTATATTTACAATAAAAATTTTTAAAAAAGAGAATGGCCTTAATATTGGACCTCAGCTACTCAAAGCTCTGGCCCCTCCCTCACTCCCAACATACCCAGTCAGCCTGATTATTTACCTTGTCCAACTTTCATGACAATCTTCATGGTGCGTGTACGGCATACACCTCCCTCCCGGTTCTCCAGCCCCTCCAGGCTCCCATTAGATGTCGCTGCAGGAAGATAACAAAGCAGTCAGAAGTTGGGAAGAGGGAACATGTCTGCCATCCTTACCCAGAAACCCCAGTGCTGCCTCAACAACAGTAACACAGAGTCATCTAGGAAGAATGGCCTAGAATGGCCACTAGGGGTGAAGTGTGGCAAGCAGCTCTGATTTACTCATGAACCCTTCTTCTGCTTTCCCTCCCTCTTCACCTCCCTCCCACTAAGAATAAAGTAGCCCAGTTCAGCCAGGCCAAGCCCAACCCCTCTCTATGGGCTCTGCTCCTCATAAGTAGGCAATACTAAGGTGTGCCTTCTCACTGGGAGCTGCTTCCCAGAGGGCAAGCAATGAAACTGGCATTATGAAAGGGGCTTTGAGAAGCCTGGAAGGAATTCTAGATTGAGGGTAAGGAGAACCAAGTTGAAGTCTCAATCCTTTCTCTAACTCATTATGTGGCCTACAGCAAGAATCCCATTCACCTTTCTGTTTTTATGCTGGGGATGGAAGTCACAGCCTTATAATACCAGATAAATACTACTACTGAACTATATTCCCAGCCCCTGCTCATCTTTTAGGACCTCAGTTTCCAAGGAAGAACTGTCTGATCCCAAAGGGCTCTGCCAACCTAGCCATTCCCAAGAAAGAGAGAACGCAACATGATCAGAGGCCTCTTCCACTCAAGCCCTGGAGCCAAGGCAATCTGGCAAGAGGCCACATGGTGATTGTTGGGTCCAGAATTTCAAGGCCAGGCAAGGAGGAGAGCATGCTAGTCTTCAAAGGGGATCAGATCAGGCAGAGATTCAACTGTGTGAGGTATCAGGGCACCACACTGAAGCTCCCACTACTGTGAGGAGGCAGGAAGCTAAGCTTAGGGAGAGAAGTATACAATGGGAGTATAGGGACTCACAGGTAATGTAGTAATCATGGTACTTTTTGAACTCCAGGCCCATGTAGTTGGGGCTGAACTCCTGGAACTTGATGGTAAAGCGGATTTCTTGCTGTGGTCTGTTGCAGGTGACTAGCACGTTGGGGTCCAGCACAGTACTGCAGGCAGCTGCCTGTTCTGGCCGTACCAAGTACAGCTTGTAGTACTCATAGGGCCGCCCCGCTTCTGCTCGGGGGCAGATAATGTCCAGCTTGTCTCCAATCTTCGGGTAGATCACCAAGCCCTTCCCACTCAGGAACCTGCCCAGGAGAGAAGAGATGGTCAGCCTCAGGGTTGCAGGGCACAGGGTATCACAGAACCAGGAGAATAATCCATGAGAGGCTGGGCTGGGGCAACATGGTAGGAATGGTGAGAGTAGGCCTTCCACTGTTCCTTAAACTTCATGTTGGGGGTGGGGAGACAGAAACACACTGCCAGCAGGGTGTGGAAGGGGTGGCCCATAGGCAAGGCTGCCAGGCTTTGAATGCTTGGCAGGGTGGGGCACTGCCTGGCTGGGGGAGCCCTTTGTCCTAATGTGGCATTTCCGCAGGGGACTGGCCAAATGGGCTGGGTACCAAAGTGTCAGGCCCAGGCTGCCTGAAGGTGGCACCTGGACCCCTCCCCCAACAACTCACATTCTTTCATGGCTGCTGCTACCTACCTACCTAGACACACACACACACACACACACACACACACACACACACAAGCCTACACTTGCCTTAGCTCCTACCCCCGCAGATCCCAGCCAAAGGCTAAGGGAGGCTCAACCTGTCTGGGACCCATGTCTTCCCCTCCCCCTCCTCCTTGCTAATCTTGTGCATGATAGGGGAGGTAGGAAGAAACACAACACTCAGCCAAGAGATGGGGGCCATGGTTTCTAATCAGATATATCCTTATAAATATCCTATTGGTGACCCCTCCTCTCATAATGTAAGAGTTTGAACCTTCAATCTTGAGTAGCCTCAAGAACAAAGAGAAAGAAGAAGGGGTCTAACCAGGGCCAACAGATTATAGTAAATGGGGCCCCAGAACCCCATTCATCACCTCCACACCACTCCTAGTCAAGATCCTTAAAGGACATAGAAGAAGACCTTAAGCATGGGTTTTAGTGTTAAATCTGGGGGAAACAAGAGTGGTTGGTGGCCCAGGATCCCCTGGGCATTAGAAAGCACATTAAGAATAGAGCTCTGGCCGGGCGCTGGTGGCTCACGCCTGTAATCCTAGCTACTCAGGAGGCTGAGATCTGAGGATCGAGGTTCAAAGCCAGCCCGGGCAGGAGAGACCGTGAGACTCCTATCTCCAATAAACCACCAGAAAACCAGAAGTGGCGCTGTAGCTCAAGTGGTAGAGTGCTAGCCTTGAGCTGAAGAGCTGAAGGACAGTGCCCAGGCCCAGAGTTCAAGCCCCACGACCGACAAAAAAAAAAAAAGAATAGAGCTCCGTTGGCTTTTTTCCAAGCTGGGGCACAGCAGAGCTAAGAGTAATGTGGTACCATGTTAAAGACAGGACATAGCTCTGTGGCCCTGATGAGCCCTCTAGTATCTCTGAACTTCATTTCCTTCACTTACACACTGGGGGTGGGAAGAGCCTTATCAAGGTTGTGGAGGGGGAAACAAAAGTGCATGGTCAGCACCTAGCAGCACACAGTAGGTACTTATTATGCTTAAATACTTCTTAGAAATAGTATATCCAGGGCTGGGAAGGTGGCTCAGTGGTAGAGTGCTTGCCTTGCATGCATGAGGCCCTGGGTTCGATTCCTCAGCACCACATAAGCAAAAAGAAGAAAG